ATTGTGAGATACATATCTTAATTTGAAAGGCAAGTTTTTAATATGTGCACCATATAATTAGCTTATTCTTTCAGATATCAATTTGTGTGACATGTGGCTAAAAATATATATAAAGTCAAAGTCACATCAATAAAGCTTCTAAGAGGTTTTTCTAAAAGATATTATAAAATTAATCTACTTTTATCTACTTCTACCTAATCATGTAAGTAATTATTAGAATAAATATTATGTCCATTATATTAAGAGGTAGGTGAATTAGATCTCTTTGATTTATCCAATATAATAACCATGGCCATATATGATATGGATAGTATGGGCCTTATAGATCAAGTTTGTGATTGATTCAAGCCTTGCAAGTTTTATTACAACGTTATCAATTATATCTTTAAAAAAAATAAAAATAAACAAAAAATAAATAAATCTAATTTCTATTGCCCCAGCTAATACTATGTTTCTATGATACTATTGACTAACAACATAATTTAGATATAATATTCTATTTAGATTTTAAAATATATATATATTCTAATCTCAATAAAAGAATTTACAATGTAGTCATCTAAATCTTAAAATATGATAGATTGGTTAAAAATCTAGAACAAAAACCACATTAATTTTGAAGATAGTAAAAAAAAAGTCTTAACATCACTTGAATGTAGCTTAGAAAGCTATTATACTTTAAAAAGAGTTGTTGAGCCTAAGCTTATTTTGACCACTTTAAATTCTATTATTAATAAAAAGACTACCTTCTATTATAGAATGGAACTTTGATTTAAATTAAAAATATAATCAAAGATTGTATGTATACTCTTGTCTTAGATAAGTTTCTTTTTTTTATTGTTTATATCTTAATAGTTTGTTTTTTTGTTATATCAAACTCTTATTATTTTTATATGTTTTCATATTTTTTATATTTTATTTTTTTAGATTCTCAAGAAAAGGTCATGATGGCAAAGGCTTGATTGAGAGTATTAAGATTTATTACTACTATAAGCAAGTCATCAAGCATTGTTACCTCTTGAAGTTCTTTTATAATTTTTTTTTATTGTTATAATTCTAACAATGTTTCAGTTTATTTCTTTTCAATCTAAGATTGGTATTACTAGACTCACAAATTTTGTATTTTTATTGATAATATGTAAGCCTTGTGAGCTCTTTATAATAACACTAAATCTTTTTTTGTCTTAAGTATTAGAATTTGATCACTTTTTTGTATTACAAATTAATTATTTATTTTATATAGTGAATGTGGAAAATAATAGAAATCAAGCAATAATTTCTATAAATTTAAAATAGTAGTTGATTTAATCATGTTCCTTGGCTAAAGCAAAGATGTTATCAATTTTATGAATGAATTTTTTCTTAGCACTTCAAAAGGTTGTCCAATGCTAGTGGCATTCAAGTCTTTTGACAAGCACAATATACTTGCATTTAGTTCCATCATTAAAATAATTACAATAATAAATTTTTTTGGTTCTAAATTATTTTTATCTTATGTTATTCTATTTTTAGAAATTATCAATATATTCATAATAATAATATAAGATAATAATATTATTATTATAATTGATATCAAATATTATTATTATCTTATATTATTCCATTTGTAGAACTTATCAAAGATAAGATTTTTATAAAAGTTTTTTTTTTGAAATATAAAAATTAATATGGATAAATTTTCATCTAAATACTTAATATTTTGTTTTTTGAGTATGAATATGAAAGTAGCAAAAATCCCAACTTTGTTTTAATGATCAGTATCTATGAGGTGCAAAAATATATTTACAATATTAACTTGAGAAGTTGTAGCTGATTTTTTAACATATTATTGTTAGATGTTTTTTTTATGGATTTCTATCTTATAACATGTAGCAGCAATTAAGATTTATTCCAAAGACAATATAGTCATTGGCTTCTATTTCTAAGTTTTTTCTATATAAAGAAGGTATCTTTGTCTTGCTTCTTACTTAAAAAAATAAGCTATTATTATATCTTCTTAAGATTAATCTACTACTTGGCCCATTAATTTTTAATTTTTAAACATTATTGTGGATTTTGTACAAATTAAAAAATCTACAAAATTCTTTGAAAATTTCAATGAGAAGAACTTGTCTAGTGTTTTCTTATACATCTTTATTATAGTCTCATGCATGTGTATTCTTCTAATATAATAGAAGATGCAATCTACATATGTTCCTATGCCACACAAATATGTACGTCAAAATACAAAATCTTAATAATAAAATAAATAAATAAATATTAGTATCCATATCTAGTATTGTTGATTACATACACCTTTTGCTTCCATTTGCACTATGATTGTGTAGTACAACCAAGGCCGTATTGTCAATACATTATCCTTGAATTATTGCAAAATCTTAATTGACAAACTTTGCCTACCACTTTGGCATACATTGCTGCTCTTCCAAAATACACGAATTTTTTTAAGATTCAATTGGAGTTTGTTTAGAATTTTTTTGGAATCTGATTAAGATTTTATTATGATTTTTAAAGTTTTGGCAAGGTCTTTAGAGTATAATAAGGTTTTTTTTAAGATTTGATAGGATTTCTTAAATATTTATTAAAATTTATTTAGGAGTTGTGCAAACTTATTTAGAATTTTGACATGATTACTTATAAAATATTTAGCATTTATTTAAAATCTAATAGAATTTAAAATTAAAAATTGATTAGATTTAGTATTTATTAGATTTAGGATTTCTAGGAGGATTATGGTTGTCAAGAAGAGTGTTTTTAAATACTTCATTCTTTTTAGATTACAAGAAATTTTTAGGTTTTAGATGATTTTCTTCCTCAACTAGATATCAAGTACATTTAAAGAATTAATTCATATTTTTATAAAATTATTTAAAGTTTTATCAATTATAATGAAGAATGTTGGCTGAAAATCTTCATATTTCAGACTTTTCTCAATTAGAAATTAAGTAGTAACAAAACCATTAATGTCTACTATTATGTAGACAACTTGAAAAACAATATTTATCATTTATCAAAACTTGGTGAAAAAGCTTGATTCTTCTATTGCTTAGAATAAGAAATTCCAAGACACTTTGTTTTATGTTATTTAAAAAAACTATTTTAAGCAATTTTAAAGATTATTTAAAAGTTTTAGCCAAATTAATCGTAATCTAGGTAATTAAAAAATTATAAAGAATATAAAACATAAATAAGAATAATTTGATATAAATGAATTACTTTAACAAAAGTAGATTGTAGTTTTTTTAGCAAAACATTAATACAAATCTTACAAGTGTATTAAAAAATAATTAGATATTAAGTATTGAATAATGCCTTTTAACTTCTTTTGTAAAGTAATTTAATATTTTTTTATTATACTTTAAAAAAATTAAATTCTAAAAAAACATCAATTATAATAAGATAATTATGACTAATAATATTTTTATAATTTTTATAATATTCAATGCATATTCTATAGAGTCTAAGGACTTTTACATTAGTTTTTTATTTTTTTATTTTTTTATTTTATTTAAATAATAGACATAAATTTGTATTTATTAAAGCTCTAACCTACCAAAATATATATATTTAAGTATAGAAGTAGAAATATCAATAGATTTAGCTAATGTTGGTTGATTTTTATAGAAGAAAGTATAAAAATAATAGCATTTTGAACTAATTTCAACATCTTTATATTTTATTGCTTCATATTAACTTTAATATTTAATAATAGTTAATTAGAAATAACTTGCTTTTGTAATATCAAAAAATCCCTTTGAATTACATCACAAAATTTCTTTTACTTAATACTAAAACAATTATATTGAACTTCTTATTTTTATCCTTTTAGTCTCATTAATTTATCTTAGATTATATTTAAATTCATTTTTATGACTTTATTTATAGATATGTTTAAATTTCAATATGTATCTTAATTATAGTACTTGGAAGTTTTAAAATTTGTCTTAGACTTTGAAATTCTTAATCTTTGCAAAAAAATTGTAAAAATAAATAAGTAATATCAATCTATTAATAAATAAACTTTATACCAAGTTAGAGTCTATACTATTCAAATTTGCTTTAAAATTCTAATTTAAAAAATGTTATATAGTACATTCACCTTATAAAAAGACTAACTCAGTAATGTGTTTTGCATATGAATAAATAGTTCTATTGAAAGGTGATTAAATTAAACAACATTGTTTTAATTTTGTATGTTTTGATGTCTTTTTTAAAAAGAATGTTTAAACTTGCATAGAATCTATTTAATTTAACAAAACAAGTCCTTCATTTCTATAGTTGTCTTAAAAGTATTTCAATATGTCATGAAAGTTGAATAAATTTTAAGGAAAAAGTAAGGCTTTAAGAACTACTATGGATTTTTTTGTCATATGCTAGATCTCTCTCAAAATGGAAAGATTTATTTTAAGCATTCTAAGAGTAGCTTGAATGAAAAATATGAATTAAAAAAGATTTAATGCTAGTCCACCCAAGAATTAAAAAATATTTGAAGGGTTTCAAATATGAATTCAAACCTCTTCACAATCCAACAATTTCTTTAAAATAAACACTAATACCACTTATCACGTAACAAGAGCCCTTCTAAAATAACTTTTTGCAATCCACTCAATTTTACTTTTTCAACTTCAATTGCATACAACAGCAAAAACAAAACATAAATACATTCAAAAAGTAACAATGTAATACAATAGAAAATATTGCATAAAGATTTACCATCCATGACATTGTTTTGGTCTTAGGTGATCAACAAAATTGACACTTGAAAATTCCAACCAAACCCTGTAATCTCATAGTCACACATAACATGCTAAATGCAGGTAAAATAATATCACACGTTTTGCAGGGACACAAATGTGCACCCTCAACCCTCAGCCCAGCCTTGTAATAGATTCATGTGTGGTAGTTTCGAGGATGGGCAAGGTGTTCAAGAGCCAACAAAATCCAGTTGTCTCTCACACAGAAAGAAAAAAGAGAAAAAAAAAAAAAAAAAAAAAAAAAAAAAAAAAAAAACTACTCGAAGGCTGGGTTACCATGCTATTGAAAAGACAACCACAGTATTCTGAAAACATCTGTGTTAAGTACCAGCGTACGTCATTGACAACCAGAAGTGTTCGGTACATCTATGTTACAAAGACCACTGATGAAACCCAGGACTTAATTCCACCTTCAAGGCAAGCCGAAATCTGCAAAACTATTTAACCGACAGTTGTCTACCTGTCCCCAATCTTCTCCTCGTCGTCATCACCTATTTCTAAGGCATCAATCGTTGCTGATAACTCAGACGGACGTTCAGGGAAGTCGTTGCTTCTGGAATTCGTGCTACTCCCTCGTAGTTTTGCAGATTTTTCTACAACAGGCTCGTCCAACTCGTCTCTGCGAGCTGATCGCGTGTGTGATTGTCGCTCCGAATCCGCTACCTTGCTGCTGGAGTTACTTGGAACCTCAAACTGACATTTCTTCAGCTGCTCTTTCAAGCTCTTAATCTGCAGGTTCAGATCGTATATTTCCTTCTCCTGCATCAAAATGATCTGCGGGACCAATGCATGATCAGGCACAATACCACATCCAGGGAGTAAAAGTTGAAAGAAAAGGTTACAAGCTTCCGCAATACTTCCATGAGGCCATCTACTTCACGCTTTTCTTTAATCACCTTCACAATTTGAATGTGTAAATGAGGAGTCGGACTTACCTCTTTCCTCACTACTTCAAGGTTGATGAAAGCCACTTCTTGTTTACTGACAGTAGAGGAGTAATTATCGTAATTATCAACAGTTCCTTCCTGTTTCCAGTCTGATTGACTGGTCAGAACGAGCACCAGTAACACCAGAACCAGAGCCATAGGACGTGACATCTTCAACTCCCTGCATAATGGCAACCAAATGTACGTTAAGTGCGGACATTACAGTGTCCTGACGAGTTTAGCCCATGTAATTAAGCATTCACGTCAATGAAATAGGACTGAACGATACTTCGGCAGAAACGGCCTTCACACCAAAGAAAATATTTTTCTGTCAACAAATTCGGGTCTGCTAATGTAGCGCCTTGTTTTTAAATGAACGAAGATCCACCACCAAAAACATTTTCCTATAAATTGCGTCCAATAATTTAATGCCCGCAAAACAATCAGTGCTTCCCGTCCAGCTATTACAGAAAACTGATGCGATTCCAATTCAATCCCGTCCAATCGACAACATCAGCAAACACAATTCAAAATGCTCCAGCATCTAAACCAAAGTAACAAACAAACAAACAAAAGCGAATAATGAAAAATAAAAAAAGGGAAGTTTGTACGACTACTAAGCCCCAATACTTAGTAAAACTAAAGCTCATTTCGACTTCCTTAGAGGTCGAAAAGTCATCGACGTCCTTCTCACACACAAGGTTGGAACTAGTGAATTAATCAAAAGAATGTACCTTTTCAAATCCAATGAAAACTCATCCTAGATTCACATGTTAAAGTCAACTCCGAATATATCTCTTAGCCCCTGCACCACATAGGTTCGAAATGTTATACCCAAACTAACACAAATTGTGAACCACCTCTTAACCAATCTCAGGTCAGGAGGCTTCAAGAACTACTTCGCAGCTATAACCAGAGGTGAAGAATTCATTTTAAAAAGAATGAACTACGCCAACAACCATCGCTCCTATCACAAAATTTGGAAACCCTAAACACACCAATTTCTCACAAATCACGAGAGACAATGCTACGATCGTTGTTCAAAAAATGGCACCACACTCCTCACACGATATCATATCACCGTACAATTCAGAGTGCATAACTTTACATTGCACGTACTGGAAAGCAAGTAAGACAAACGTGAGTTGCTGCGGGTGACAATTCCCACAGCCAAACTCAGAGCAAAAATCGTTTCCTCTTCGAAGTTCTAGAACCACCTCCTCCTCCTCCTCCTCCTCCTCCTCCTCGCGCTGCACGATCGAGGCTACAATTACGAAATCGGCCCTGATCCCAAGGAAATTGACCACTCTCGAGCCTGATTGTACACACCTCTCGAGTCAAAACCTAGCAATAAACCCTGAGTCGCGATTGAACTACAAGACAGACTCCCTTCTAGATTCGCAGATGCTTAATAGCCTTCGTGAGAGACAATTGCGAGCTAGAGCTCGAGCTCTAACGATAGAGTATCGACACGATCGAGCTTCTCCTTGCTGGGTCGAGGTCGAGGTCTGAATCATCAAACTAGTGCCAAAACATCGTAAAAGCACACCAGACACCCCTCGTCACTACGTATTGCAGAAACCGCCATCGTGGGCTGTCGGATCGCAGCTGCGGCTCGGATGCAATCTCAACCGCTGATGAGATTTCTGGAGGAGGGAGGGAACGTAGGGGAACCAGGGGGCGGGCAGTATGGACGGCGGTAGGTTGGGAACTCAGAAGCCATTCCTCATTGGGCCCGAACTGAATCCACATTCACATGCACAGGTGCTGAATTTTGTATAGTATCAAAATGTAAATATTTTAAAGAATGAAAATTAAACTATAAATATTTCTCATTTTTGAAGAAATTTTTACAGTATATTTTTTGTTTTATTTATTTTTATATGAATTTTGACAAAATATATTTTGAATTAGTAGTTCTTGTACATTATCTTCATGAACACAATATTTTACTAAATGTATAAAGGTGCTCCTAGCACTATTAAATTTCTAAAAATAGAAAAATACTTAATATTCTTTTTAACTTCGATATTTAATCAATTGATTATTTGAAAAAAATAATTGTATTAATATTATAAATTGTAAAAACTAAAACACTTAAAAATATTAATATTATGTACAATTTTATATATATGTATTGTTATATATATATATATATATATATATATATATATTTCTAAAAATAAATTATTAAATATTATATTTTCAATTTTAAACTTGTAATAAAATAAAATTTATAAATTATTATTAAAATACAACTAAAAACTAACTTAAATATATGTCATAACTTCAATTATGTTATCTTTTCCAATACAATTGTATATGTGTAGAAGAATTGCGTTTTTTTAAAATACAAATATAATAATATAAAAGATATCATGAAGGTTTTTATATTACTGTTATTTATTTTAATTATTGATTTATCTATACTATAATTTTATAATAATATTATTCTAATCAATATGTATCACTAATGATGTTTCAATATATATTTTTTTTTATGCTTTTCATTTATTTTAATATTTTAAATATATTTTAGTATTTTAATTTAAATACAACATTTTTATTAAAGAACATTGAACCTAATTTTTTTTATGTGTCTGTGGATATGTATATATCTATATATATTTAAAATTTTAATATTTCAATATATATGTGTGTAAATGTATAAATATATATATATATATATATATATATATCAATATGTTACTTTATTTTCTTTAATGTTATATAATGTCTTATAATGCTACAAAATAAGTTTGTAACTTAGATCTTTTTTAATTTTCAATGCTTAATACGGATTTGATCTTATATTTTTTAGGAAGACTTCCATTGCAACTATTAGGAATGCTATTTTTATAAGAGCTTATACTTCTAATAAACAATAAAAAAATAGTTATTATAAGACTAAATAAAAATTTACAAGATTAAATAATTAGTAAACTGGTTAGTTATCTAACATATCATCTTTATTTTATAAAATTTTATTTATTCTTAGGAGTAAAGTTTGCTATGTATAAGGTATATCTTGCTTTAAAATACCTCTTTTATATACTTTCATATAAAATTGATTTAATAATATAGAATGCCATCTAGCCATAGGCTCAAGGTGTTACCATAGTAACACCTATTACCAACACAATATGGAAAGGAGAAACATTTGAGGCTAGAATGCAATAAAAGAGGGGGTTGTCATTGTTGGAATATTGGCTTATAATTGCATACATGAAATCTTTCTTCTTTTCTTTCTTTATGTTTTTTTATCAACTCTTTAGATGTTCTTACAGTTGATTTTTGAAGTTTTGGTTTTGGTATTAGTATTACTATAATAAATAAAATTATAGAAGAGTAATTATTTTAAAAAATTATTGTTATTCTCAAATATTTCTTAAAATATTAATCTACTATTTGTATAAATATTTTTAGTTTTAAAAATAAATTATTTTTTTAAATGGCATCATTATTAAATCATATAAATAATAGTTCTTGTTAGTAAATAAGTTCTATTGAAAATTATAATTTAAATTTAAGATATGTGAAAGGGTGATAAATTTAAGAAAATGTTAAAATAACCCACTCATTTACTAAATTGATCCATCATATTATAACCATCATTAGAAAAATGGATCATCTCCAAAATCCATCATAACAATCATGGTCTTCATCTTTACTCCCCTCGTTTCCAATCCCCACTCACTTTGTTCTTGGCTTTCTTCATCTTGACCTTCCTTTTGTTCTCCCTTGTTCCCTACAATAGGATGGGTCAATTTAGAAAATATGTAGGTCATTTTAACATTTTCTTAAATTTAGGAGAATGTTAAATAAATCCAAGTTTTCACTAAATTAATCTATCTATTCTTACCATCTTGAAAAAAGATAATGACATGTAGATTCATTTTTCCACTATTAAATCTGTAGTCAATAAAAACCAACCACATTCATCATTTACCATATTTTTTACCAAAAGTAGATCTATATAATAAAAGTATGAATCTATTTAAGGTTCTCCTAAATTTATACACAATAAAAATGATAATAATTATAAATTGATATTTTTATCCAAACTTTTATTATACTCACCCAACATTGTATTGCACCTTCTACATTTGCCATTGTTTTTAATCTTGTAGCAATGGCTTTGTAACTTGTGTTGCACCTTCCACATTGCCATCGTTATTATTGATGTGGCAATGGTTTAGTAACTTGATCAAGGCAATTTTTCTTTGATCAATACCCCAATAGCCCTTTGTCTTTATCAACAATGAAATCCAACATTAGCAATGTCCAACATCTTTGCTTTCACTACAACTCACCAAGCATGGGTCTTCAAAGAGCATAGATTTTCCTTCCAAAACACCCAAGTAAAGTTGAAAAACAACAAATCACAAAACCACAACAATGGTGGTTTCGTCTTGTGGATGCATCACAACGCTTTACAGAAATAGTAATACTCAGGGTAGAAATACCAATTCTCTAAAAATAATTCATCAATTTGAAGGTTAAGAAATTAGCTTTGGATATGTTTTCATAGATTTAGATTCAGCAATGAAATTCTTAATTAGAAATAGACCTCCCACTTACTGGATGCAAAATGTCGCAAAGTCTGCGATCAAACTATTGTTACACCAAGACAAGAAACTCCCAGCTATTCAAAAACGAACTAGGGGTCGGCAAACGAATAACCACATAAGGTACGTTCAGTAACGAAGGAGTTCAATTGATAAAACAATGCCAACTGTCCCCCCTACACAATATCGAGCACTAAGACAGTTCTATTGTTAAACACGGAAATGAATGTACATGCTGTGAAAGACAGCTTCCACAATGACTTGCTTGATTCAAGCCTGTACAAGTCGAAGGAAGGGTGGCTAACGTAACATAGCAGCAATTTTTTTCTTTCCTAGCTCATGATATAGAGCTGAAGAGAGTTTTAAGCTAAAGAACCAAGGCACAGCCCCACGCAGAGGCAGAGGGTCAGATTCACGAGATGTACATTTGCAGGATCTTTTCCTATTATGTCAAGAAAAGCAAGAATCGCCGAAGACCGCCATAGGTTACCATGAACAATCAGTGAATGGTCGCCTAGAGCAACTAACGAGGCAGGATATTACTCTGGCCGTGCCCTCTTTCCAGCAGGCTGGTCGTCCTCATCATCAGATGAAAAAGATACTGGACGTTTGCTCCTAACAGAAGTAGCCTGTGGTGCATCATCTGCAGTGCTGTAAGGATCCTGCGCTTCCTCCGTTTCCTGCAAGGAGCAGAGTTGATTTAATAAATGAGCTTCCATGGGAAAATGAAAACCCTGTAAAAAGTTAAACGCAATAAAATCGTTTACACCCGGATTCTTCACCGTACAGACCACCTCATCCACTAGAATGTATCCTGTGAGTGTCTGAAAAAAAAAATTAAAGCATTAAATGCAGGAAATGATTTGATCGAAGTTTGTGAGGGTTATGCCGTGACGATCATTCGCTCCAATTGCCGACTAATTTCTCTGATAATGGCTATTATGAGAGGGATTCATAAACGGAGAGGTAGACAACCCTTCAACGAAACATGAGACAAAAACGAGACATTACATTCTCACCTTGCTGAGTTCACCACGGGTTGCATTAGAATCGACTTCACCAAACTGCATAACTGGAAGTTGTTCTTCAGTTGCAGAGCCTATCATCAATGGATCATCAGGACTCAATGGTCCTCTGCCAAATACCTCCTCTGATACCTCCTGCTCTTCAAGAGTAATCTCAGCTGACGTTGCTTGTGTTAAGTCAGGCTCTCGGACTTTCGACGGTGGAGTACGCGGAGGACGCTTTTGTGCGTTTCTATTGCTGCTAGCTGTTCGACGCATTGTATGTCGAACATGAAAAAGTGGTGTGTTGTCATCATCATCGTCGTCCTCTTCAGCGGCATCCTCGGACTCACTTGGAGGCGACTCTTCCTCACTACTTGTTTCTGGATTCTCAAATAGCTTCTTACCTTTCAAATCGCGTTTTTTTCTACCAGGTCTCGGAGGTCTTCCGGCTTCTCTCTCTGTTGATTTGTACAGCCACAACGAACCACTTGAAATAGGCGTGGACATAGAATAACGTAGATAGGCAAAGAAAATTTGTATTAATCTATGAAACAGCAAGAACCCTGACGATGCAGGAAATGGATATGACACATAGAAATAATAGTAATAATAATGATATTGATAATGACAAAATGTAGCTGAAAAAATATAACCCCTTACCAGTCGGTTCAGCGCGTATAATCTTCTCCCGAAGAGCGTCAACGAATGACGAGTAAGGTTGCCATCCATCAGGATCCGCATCGATGTCGAATTCCTCCGCTTTACCTTCCACATTAGCCGCGCTGCACATATGTAAAGAGTCATCGTCAACAGCTCAACTGTACCATCACAAGCAAGAACTTCACTTGAACTAGAGAGACAAGTACTCCTCTGTCTAACATAACACCCGTTCCAAAATTCTAGCGACTTGATTGAAGAAAATGACGTTTATACTAAAAACAACCCGCTAAACAAAATATTTTTGCAATCAAGGCTTCATAACAGCTGATTCCCAAAATCAAGCAAGATAGTAGGGAGTCCTCACATCTCCTTTATGTCAGCGGCTGGTAGTTTCTGTACGAACTGCAAAACCCCCACTTCCAAAAAAGAAACTCGCTTTGGAGGATCACTTAGAGCAAAATCGATGCCACCCTTAACAATACCTAAAATACTAGGACGAAATTCCTTTCTTTGAAACCCGAAAAATGTTCCTGCTAGGCGATCCCCAAGTTCCTTGCATGCTACATAAGATTCAGTACGGGTCAAATCCCCATCGCTTCCCGCGACCTCTTCCATGTGCCTTTCGTACGCCTATCACAATTCCAGCTTCACAATATCAGATATTTGTATGATCATTCTACGTAAGGTAGAACTGGAAGAGTGATCTGCAACAGGTAAGGGATAGAGAGTAGCATAGAAAATACAACATCTACATATTCCGATGAAACACGCACAATCTGAAGTTCCGTACTATACTTCGTCTAATACAATTCATGTGTACTTTTCAAAAAGAAGAAAATCTTCCAAAAATCCCCGAGTGAGAGTCTTAAAATCTCTTACAAAACCCAAAAGATTATGTATATATATATATATATATAAACATTATATAGACAAATTCATGTCTTTTACCGGTAAGCAAGCAAGCCCTCTTTCCTCCAGCAAGACAATGGTAGACTCTGCCTCCTAATACGGATACTAGCGAGCTGAACGAGTTAAAACAGGAAGTAAATTCTCGGTACCTAGGAAAGGAAAATAGACCATGAAAAAGTAAAATATTCCGCTTCCTAAAACTCAACACAACCATATCGAGAAGAGAGAGTACCCGCTTCATGGCATCGAGGTAGATATGCGAAAGTTCTTCAAGTTTGCTGTGTTTTTTAATTTGTGTCAGTAGCTGTTTCACTGTTTCCTCCACAGTCTTTCCATGGAGCATAAAGTGCGACAATATGGCAGGTCCAAGGTAATCCTGAGGAATCAGAAATTCGAAGAATAAATACGATATTAGTTAGAAAATCTGTTGCATTGAAGCCTGCAATCATATACAAACCAACAAGCTAATTGTACTTTTCACTCTCTCTCTCTTGAAAGAATAGTTCATTCGGAGAGAGTGTAAGTGTTTACCTTAGGAACCATGTCGTGAGCAATCAATTTTGCTGCGCATGCCACAATAGCATCCTTTTCATTCATATATTCAACAGCCTTAGGTTCCTCTGGTATCTCTTCCTCGCTACCATCTGCACCATCGGCTTCTCGAGTTAAAAGATTTTGATTTGGAACAGTAGGAGAGTTTCGTCCCAAACTTTACGAGGGAAACTCTTGTAATATCCACTAGACTTCAGTTCTTGATGCATGAATATTTTCTAGATAAAGCTGTAAATGTTTTTGTAAAAGCCAGTACTCTGAGCAAACAAGGCGTTTCGAAGTGAAAAACGAGCAGAACAAGAAAAGTCTTCGTACCAGGGGCATTTAGACGATGTTCACAAAGCTTCCAAAATTGCTGCAGCTCTTGTTTGGAGGGGCAGAAGCTCAAAGCCTGCAATTTGGTGCCTTCTAATTTGGCCCGACTGAATAAGCACCACAAATCTGATAATACAGCACACATCTGCTTGACACCACATAAGATGAGTCAGAAACTCCTATGAAGACTTAGGACTTGCATAGACATTTCGAACATAGATTGAGCAGCAAAAACAAGATATCTTAATAACAATGTGAATACTGCTTGATAAGTACGGCACAAAGTCGGCACAACCCCAGTAGTTTTTCAAGACTGAAAAGCAACATGCTGCCAGGCACAAATTAAGAGGGCATACAGTGCAAGTCAAGATGTAGCGAGCATCGTCCTGTTCCCAGCTCTCTAGAAGAGATTGAAGTACGCTCTGCAACTGCTCCATAAATTTGTTTCTCTTTGTGACCACTTCCTTCACAAAATTTTCATCAGGATTGTCGAGATCAATCGACTTCAAAGCCCACGCCAGATGTAGGAACACGTTCAACAACACCAAACGTATCACCTGAAGTATCACAAAGCTTTATTTTTAAAGAAAAACGAAACTGAAAAATATATATATATATATATATATATATATATAACCAACGGATTATTCTCAAGTGATAAGGATAGACCTTGTAGAAGGTGATGAAGATTCAACAAAATGACGAAATACTTGCAAGGACATACTTTGCAACTTGCATCAAGAGGATCTGGTAAAATGATCATGCATAGAATTGAAAAGAGAACGCATACATTACCTCATCCTCCAAGTTGCTATAGTCATTGAGGATACCCAGTAGGTCAGTAAAGAGGCGATTATCTGAGAAGTTTACTGCCAGTTGCAGCTGATAAAGGCGCCTTAAATTCACAGCCAATGAATATTCGTCTTCTGATTCCTGTCATGACATAATATACAATTTCATAGAGGAAAACAAAGCCTTTTTAAATCACTGACCAAAAAGAATCGTCCAGTCACCAGAAGTTGATATAATACTCAATTAAAAAAACCATCCAATTCTCTTGCAGTCGATTAAAAGGACAACGAAATCAAATCGAAAAAAAAAAAAAAAAAAAAAAAAAAAAAAAAAAAAGCGATTGGATATGAATGTAATGTTCTACATGAAGAACCCATTAGATGCAAAAACCGACGCGCTCATTTAAGTAGGCTGTTTTAAGTAAGTTTACCACTGCCTGTGTGATTGCTGACCGCAGTTTCACCAAGAGGTCATCAGCTGTTTCCTTGAGAATCTGATTGGCAGAATCTTGCAAATCACCTTGGCTTTCACTTGCAGCAAATGACAATACTTTTACGCAAGTCTTCAGTATGTTTTCATCTCCATGTTTAAAAAACGCCTCTTTGATGAGTTGAAGTAAGGTTGTGAAATTCTGCGTCAGAGAATGTCAAACAAGTGAACCAGGAGAGAAATAAATCAGGTGTATGCATTTCAAACTGCGGCCGAGTCTTATAACGATTCACCAGATATTACACCGAGCTCTTCAAATGCCCACCTAATTCACGTGTTCATCTACATAAGACAGTAGCAGCTCGACCTGAGAATAAAAGACGACATTTATACGCTAGTGTCAGTCCAGTAATTACCTGTTCCTGACGCTTCAAAGAGTATAAGTCAAGCTGCATGTACATGCCAATCTCAATAATTGCAGCAACCTTGGCATTGTCAGCCAGATACTTGCGTAGCAGCTTGGCATGAGATTTCACCATAGCTAAGGTCATCTCCTTTTTTCTGTTCTCTTGTACCTCCTGTAATTCATTTAATTGACCAAATTAGACAGATTCAGCTCAATCAGGATTTGCCACTCACTGGGCTTCCTGATAACTACAAACCGACTCTGCTGAAAAGGTATGGTCATTTAAATCGGAGTTTACTTCCCACTTCCCCCCAATTTTGGCATGCTAGAAACTGGAGGATAACGGCTTGCCGAATCGTTTAGTGTGTTCAAACTTTAAACTCGAATATTGAGGTAGACAGGACAAGCCAACACAGGAGAAGCCAGAACTTTAAAAAAAAAGATAGACTACTTTTTAACCACATGCTGATGCAAAACCCCTGGGGAACGATCCTGCATGAATAACAACCACCAGGAGACGATGAAGCCTAAAACGTGAATGACCGTATCTTCCACTCACTACTGCTGCGTAGAAATGAAATTGGAGACGTACCCTCTGAGCTTTAGTAAAAGTTTGTGTCTTGCGCTGCTCAGCAGAAGGAACTATCTTCTCACCAGCTGACTTCTTCACAGATGCCAATAGAACCCGCACAAGTATAGTGGTGTCCTCTTCATTGAGTTCCTTACTGGTGGTATCCTCTAATAGCATAGTTATCATACATTTCCAATCCTGGAAGTCTCAAGTTTGAACCACATCGTAAGGTCACAAGAGTGACGTCTATTAATCGAAAAGACATTCAAGAACAGCAACGAATTATGGAAACAGATTTCATTCACCTTCATTGCTGAGCACTTATCCCAAAGTGCATCAATAACGTAATCACACAAAATTGGATCAGCGCAGAATTCCCTTAATATCCTTAAAACCCGTTCAAGCTGAGCAGTTAAATCTTCATCATCCTCTCCTGAAATTCATTCCAGTACATTACCAGAACTCAGTAGCCAAATAAATGGATTTAAAAGAGAGGCACAAAAACATATGAGCACCACAGTAAAGAAAAGTTTTCCAAATGGACTAGTTAGGATCTCCTCACAACTTCCCAAACTAAGGCACCTAACATCACGAAACCACTTATCAACACATATGTAGACTACCAAACCTTCTGAAGACTGGGCAATCAGATGATCAAACACCAAGTCTCCCACTGCATGTCGAATTTGAGGGGCTTCATCAATAAGTAGATCAAAAAGAGAACCAAGTTCCTCGTCGTTCAGAAGTTGATGCCTACATAATACGGAATAAGCATTAATAACTGTGAACCAATCTTTTGGACGTCAAAGTAGATCATGAAAAACACATCTTTTAAAAGTCAAATCCACTTACTTGAGTAATTGTTTAAGCAACCCAATGGCATTCACAGCAACGGTCAAATCCACGTCATCTGCCATCTCTACCATGCGATTCGAAAACCGCGCAGAAAATAAAGAGAGTGATGGGACATGATCATCAACCGCATACAGGGCTTGAAGTGCACCAATAGAGCTATTTCGAACTGCTGCATTCTGCATGAACTCAACCAATATACATTGATTGTCAGATTCACAACAAAGCCATACCAATCGGAGTATGTTTTCGATTAACCTCTGACCAGTGGGGAATGTGAACAACAGTAAGAAGATGTAATAGCGTAGTAACTCCCTCTCAAGGGTATTCTACTAACTTAAGAAGCTTTGCTACCTGCGAAAAAGTTGGGTTGTCATCATACTCAGCAAGGAGAAATATTTGAAGAACTTGTGATATATCAAAAACTCATTCAGTACGTATATGATCCATTTAATCATCAGTGAAAAATCAAATTCACGTTCTTTAGATGAGAAAGATACTGCCGGATGCAAGAAAGAAACAAGCAAAACAGCCTAGGGAATGTAGGCCAAACCTTGTCGTTCAATGTCCAGCCAATATACTTCAAATACAAATCCTGAAGAAATAATGAAGGGTATGAGACGATCCAGCACCCCATGGCACTGATGCAAGCCTGCCGAATTTCAGGGTCAACGTCTCTATACCGGTGCATGAAAAGCCTGTACCAGCCATATTTTAACTCAATTCAGCCATTAACAAGGTAATCTAGAGGGCTAGTAGAAAACATTCTTAAAAACAAAAACTCCGAGAACTATGACTCTCGACAATTTCTAATCGCAAATACTCTATGCACGGACATTTCCATTACAACAAAACATGATACTTATACAAAATCTAAGTATGAAGAGACTTATCAAATAAACACTTTCAATTATTTATTATTATTATTATTTTATTTTATTTTTTTTCCTAACTACGGCCTGGCTCCTAAGTCACATCTAAATATACATTCCAACTTACAGAGAAACAGATATACATACCCCGTGAAAATCTTTCTCATCATCTCCTCAACCATAGTTATCTTCTCATGCTTCTCTGATAGCTGCTTGTTAAGAGCTTCAATACGTGGCCCTTCTTTGCGCTTCTTTTTCTCTGCATTCAGCTGACGCTGAGCAGTCTCTCGAGACTGTCCTAAAGTTTTCGCAACGGAAACAAAAGAGGTCACCAACTGCAATCCTATCAGAGTAGCAACGTGGCGAAAAATCCTTGGAGGAGTGCTGGCAACCACATGCAGCAACCAAAACCCAGTGTTATGTTGGAGATCAAGGCAACTTTTCCTTAAAAAGACGTCCAGAGGAGGGTGTATTTTTGCAATGAGATGATTGCCTCAGATCCTTCTGAAGTGAAAACCCGATGGTTTTGAGCAGCAAACCAACGATCACAAACTTACCTCTGCAGGATGCAAAAGTTAAGTAATAAAACCTCAAGCATAATTTGAAGCGAAACAAACAAAGGTGTGCTGAGTAGATACTGCGTAACTCTTATTCTGTAATCTCAAGCTCAACCAAATATTTCATAAGATGAAGAAAAAAGGAAGAGAAATGCTTCATAACGACATACCAAGACAGAGCAATGACATAATCCATGCACTTCTCCATCAACTGCTGATCAAACAGTGCACCCTCCTGGGACTCGCACACAACAGTGTCCCAAAAAGAAAGTAGGTTGTCTTTGAACACTCGTCCATCTTTTTTAGCCCCCAGGTGATCTTCAACGAGACCCTAGGCATTGAATCAAGGATGAAAAACTCCCAACAAAATACGCGTGCAGGCACACACTAGGTTTTGAATATAAATAGATCAACCAAGTTAACCCAGTCTTGCTTGTCACCTGCTTCTTAAACTGCATTCAATGTTAATTATAAAAAGGTCATGTCTGCAACAGAACTTTTACGCATGAAAGGATACTTGCTTTGCCTTTGAAAGCATTTCTTTCACTACATCATCGACATCGAGATCCACGTACGAGGCTTCATCCAAGTCCAGAGTAACACCGCATGCCTGCGGATCGGAATACAAATTCTTAAACGATGACTGTTTCATTTGTTTATTTTTTAATAAAACTCAACACCAGAACTGCACGAACAGATACATCAGAACGAGATGATCTAAGAAATAAAAATCGACCTCAAACATTGTGGAAAGCAGCTCGTTCAAGCCGTCAACAGGATTGGCCTCGTAGCGCTCGAGCCATTTTATAGCTGCATCACTGACATATTTGGGTTTATGCTTCATGATATCTGATCAAGGAAACAAAAATACAGCATCAGTGATAATAGAAATAAAAAAGTCAGTACTCAACACCTCAAGCTGAATATGTATGAGGGACAGGAGCGTCGGGGGAGCGTTTCAAACCTGTTCAGCTCCATTTCAAAATAGTCAGAGCAGCTGTGTGGAACTAATATTCTAGAACTACAAAGAAGACGAATCTTACCAATCAAACTTGCTGTCCCGATGTCAAATTTTGGAGCTGTACGATTGTACGGCCTCTTAGTCTTCGCAGAACTGTCCTTCTCGCCTTCCCCGCCTCTCTTAGAGTGCTTCTGAACAATTCATAATAAAAAATAGCTACTAGTACACGCAGAGCAACTCACAACAAGAGAAATAAGGAAATTCAGGAACTAGACAGTACCTGGCCATAATTCGCACGTTTTCTTGGTGGTTCATCATCCAAATCATCCTTATCACTCTCCTCCTCCTCACTAGATTCCATGAGCCTGCGAGTTTGAGAGTGCTTGGAATGTTGAGGAATTAGCTCGCAGGAGTGAAATGTGCAATTTCGCTTTCAAGCATTGCACAGAAAAATACTCTCGCACGAACACAACTGAGCTACGACACATCTTGAAAATATTTAATGGAGCATAAATTCATGCCAGAATAGAACGACTAGACTTACATACCGACACCAGCACTCACTCAGCAAGTAGGTTTTTAAATAAAATACAATAAAGCCACGATGTCAAGCAATCCTACACACTCACTCTTTCATTAATTGGGAATTCAGCACTGCTTGGCGACGATCTCTCTTGTGACTCTCAGCCACCGGAGTCCCCTCCATCTTTTTAAATGCCCTGATAACTTCTCAGAAATGATTAACTGCGCGTAGGCCTCCCGTGCTATCACAGCTTTAGCTCAACCCTATGAGCACTTTCTGTGAACTTCTACAGCCTACGTCATCTGATTCCTGGAAACACCTTCAACCTCGCAAACAATTCATCACACCGCTGAAATGCACTGACGCAAAAAGCTGATCAGCGTGCCTGTACAACACGCACGTAGGCTAGAATAAGAAAAACTGGGAAAAAAAACTGAAACCAACCTCGCGCAACTAGACAGCCCGACAGGAATAGAATAACAGTAGCTAGAAATCTAAGAGCACTTCCCTAACACCGCTAATTTAATACGATACATTTCTACCACAGACATCACTTACAAAAAATATTGCTACACATGCCACACAAATACTGTCAGCAAAACCATCCTAATCACTCCACATCCTTCAACAACCGCACAAACACAACAATCATGCCAACACTCCAAAACCTCCTGAAAAAATCACAACTAAGACGACGAAGAAAAGGAATAAAAATTCACCTGTAGCTGCGGCGCTTGCATTGAAGGAACAAAATGCGAGTGAGCAGGGGTTCACGAGCGAGCGCGATGAGGTTCACGCGCACGGGCGGGGGCGGGGGGTAGGGGGAGGAGGAGGCGTAGGAAAGGGCGGGAAGTGGCGAGAGCTGGATACGTCGGGACGGAGTGTTCGTCGCAGGTCGTGATGAGAAAGGTTCTCTCAGCGAAAGCTACAAGACGACGATTCCGTGCTTCTGTGGAGTGGAACTTTTTGGATGGAACTGTCGTTGACGGTTGTCCACGACAGGTTTCGAGAAGAATGCGTTGTGGAATCACCTGTTGATAAAATACACTGTTACGGAAGGGGTACGTTGCCCATTAATTGATTACGGAACACCTTTGGATGGATAATCAGCATTGCTAAAACGATGGAAGAATGTATAGTTATCTCTTTGGGGATGTAGTTATTTTCAGTCCGTTTCAATATCAACATTTTCAAAATAATAATGAAATGTGGAAAAAATTGGGAAGTGAACATCTACAACTTCTTCAAATTATTGTGCTTGCAAACGATGTAGAAGTAAACATAAAACATGTTATAAACCAATAACTAATTTTCAATGATAAGTGTGTGTCTGTGTATGTATATAACTTATAGAATATTTTAATTTTGAGTTCTATAATATTTAAATTTGAAATTAAAAGTTTATTAAACTAAAATATCACTAACTGATCAAAGTTACACATAATAAGATGTATTTTTAGTAAAAATCATACTCATTACACATGTCCTTATTATGATAGTTATTAAGATTTTTTTAAATTGCTGTAGATATATATATATATATATATATATATATATATATAATCAAAATTGTGTTTCAACATGGCTATTATCTAATTAAAGAATAATACTATATATTGCAATATTACACAACTTCATTGAATAAAGCACAATTTTTTAATCAATTAACTTGTATTGCATGATTCAGAATAAACAAGAGATAACAGAAATTTCAGATTATAATAAAATGTATTTAATTTAAATATTAAATGTAAGTATTCACTTCTGAATATAAGATAACTTTAACTTACATTAAAAAGATGTTAAATTGACAGTTTAAGTTTTGACGAATTACAAATTCAAAATAAAACTCGTGAACTGAGGTTCAAGTACATTTTGAAAATCTTTATACAAATATTAGTTGTTAATGATTTTCTTACCAGTAACATCTCTTGCACTGGAGTGATTACTTTCTCTCTTAAAACTAATCTCTTGGAAGCACAAATTTATATAAATAAAAAAATAGCAAACCAAAATTATTTTTCCATTCCTTTTCTCCTAAATTATAATTTTTACTAAACATTTTTTAATCGTAACATTATTTATTACTCTGTAATTGATGAAATTAAGTACCAATTTATTACTAAAAATTAAATATATATAAATAATAATAATAATAATAATAAAGTTTAATTAAATTCAAAAAACACATCTATATTTATTTACAAAAGAAAATTGGTATATTTGTGTGCATATTAGTGTTTGCAAATACATACACACACACACACACACACACATATATATATATATATATATGTATGTATGTATGTATAGATATATCTTATTAAGTAATTATGTTATTAAAAAATAAGTATGGCTCTTAATTCTTAATTTCTTAATATATATGATGTAGAAAGACAATAGTAATTTTTTTAAGCTAATTATATATACATACAAAATATAAATAATAAATTACTTAAAAAGAAAAAATATAAAATTATATTAAATACAAATAAAACATTTAAATTCCTTGTAAAAATACATAATTCAACTTAATATTATATATATGTATATATATTTATTTATTTATAAACTTTAATTTATTTGTCAAGATTGGCAATTTATTATTTGACTCTAATACAAGAAATAAGAAAATTAAAATATCACTAATATTCCAAAGTATAAAAGTAACTCTAATAATTATTTATATCCATGCTAAATTTAAATACTCATTTTATAATATGAATTTTATAATCACTTTGTATTTAGATATAATTTTTCAACTGATACTTTACATTCATTAATCAATTCAACACAAGATTTTTTTGGTTTCATCAATTGTCAAAATAAACAATCAGTTTTGATGCCAATTTTGATTTTTAATATTTTTACAAAATCATGGAGAAATATCAGTTCATTTTATATCTGTATAGTTATTTTAATTTTTGACATAACTTTAAATTTGTAAAACAATCCTATAAAATAAAATAATAAAATATTTGTTAAATTTTAAGCAACAAAGCATATGATCTCTTTGTAGTTATTTGGTATTACATAGAAATTAAGACAACTAAATAAAAATACATCTAATATTTTTATGGAAACAAAGAGGTGTCAAGTAAAAACTATCTACATCATATCAAGAGATGATGAATGATTATTTATATAAAATTTTAATTTTTTTGGAATTATTGATAAGAAATATTTTGCTAAAAATGTCGAAAACCATATTTTTTATTTATAATCTATATACTAATCTTACATACTACAAAAATGAGTTAATGGCATCATTTGGCAATACAGGTTTATGTACTATGAGCTTCCTTTATGCAATAATTGGTACATACATTTGTAATTATGATTTTTTTGAAAATAAACTATATGGAATTATAATATGTTTTCTAGTAAATTTTATTATAATTTGTTATAATTGGTTGGACTTGTTAATTTAATTACAAGATATGTTGGAAGAATTATGTAGATTTTTAAAAAGAGTTATACAATTAAAGATAAAATTTGAACATCTAAAAGGTATAAATTGGTGGTTTTTAATTTTGTAATCATACTATATAAAGCTTATTAATTTTCTAATAAAAATACCAAATTTATTAATGTTTTACTTTTGTCTATAAAGGTGATTTTTAAAAATTAAAATTTTTTCATCCATAAATCAGAAACTTATTTTTAGATTATTTCTAATAATACTTATATTACAAAGACTTATATCAAAATAAGATATCATTTGAAGTGAGAAAAATTGAACAAATTTATAGCTTTGACCTGGAATCTCTTAACTAAATATTGTAATATCTAATATAAATAGGATATTGATAATGATACCACATCTTATACTATTGCAACCACAATTTGTCATTTATTACATGTTATCACAACATCTACTATTGCCAACACAACTTGCTATTTATCTTTTGGATAATTTAAATTATAAATTGGATAATTGAATGCAACCTATATCTTTTATTAATACTAAATAAAGATGTATAATTTTAAAATTATATATATATATATATATTAAAAATAATATATATATATTAAAAATAATATATATATATATTAAAAATAATATATATATATATATATATTAAAAATAATATATATATATATATATATTAAAAATAATATATATATATATGTTTACATTTTATAGTGAAATTTCATATTCATTAATTATTTTATTATAATGCATTAAATATAAATTTGCTTTAAAATATTATGAAGATTTATAAATATATACATGAAATTTGAATAATGTTTTTGATTGAAATACATATTAAATAAATCTAGTGAAATATGTTGAATAGATGGCAGATTGTGATGGCACTAGCAAAAGTTGTGGTAGCATGTAAAAAATAGCAAATTATAAATTTTGGTGGCAACAATAGAAGCTATGATGATATGTAATAAATGGCAAATTGTAGTGGTAGTAGCAAAATTATGATAGTATTAGTAGTGCATTTGAAATAGATCTATTTATTTAGACTAATACATTAATATTTATATAGTTTAAAATTTAAAATTTAATAAAATCTGATAAAAATATACAAAATACAACCAAATAGAAATTTAAATCTAATTTTATGTAAATTTTATAAGTAATGGTACAAAATCACTCTTTTTTATAAAAGATAATATTACAATAAAATTCTTTTGAATTTAAAGGTTTAATTTTATACTTTAATAAAGCCAAAACTAAAAAATATTAATAAAAATATTTTATATTATAATATTAATTTAAAAATTTTAAATTTTAATTACATAGAAAAAATAACTTTTTACTCAATTATTTCAATATTAATATTAATTTTAAAATTCTGATAGAAAACATTAGAACATATTTTCAAAAGATCTTATATGATTTAATTTCGAGAATCTATTTCATACGTTTTATTTTGGAAATTATCTTCTTAAATTTATAATTGAACAAACTTGTTAATTTTTCATACTCACAAAAATAAATTTATATAAATTATCAATATATTTTGTCAAAAATCTACATCTATTTTTTAAAGTATCTTTTATTTTAATTATTATTTTGATATCATAATTATGTACATTATATTTTTTTTCTTTGTTGATCTGTTGTTCTATTTTTTTATTTATGATACACTTCTTTTATATGTAAAATAATTAATTTTAATACTTTTTCTTTATAATAGTTTATATGTAGAAATTTTAAAATATAAAATTTAATGTACATATGTAAAAATTTGATTATTATAATTTATTTCAAGTAAATCAAAGATTTTTATTATAATTTCTGAATAGGCATTTGATATCTATATTATGATTTTAGAGCTAGTCCTGTGATTTAAGAATGGTTATTTCAATGATGTTAATGTTGATCTCATCTTCTATTATCTATAATTATTATTTTAAATCACACATATATTTTACCATTAAATTATAACTTGTCAATAACATGCATTTACATTTGTATTTATACAAATCAATTTTTTCTTATGTTATTTTTACTTCAAAAAAATACATATACATAATTTGATTTAATTTTTTAAAAAGGAATATTAAGAACCTATAGCAATTAAAGCCTTAAAGATTCCTAAAAATGAAGTGGTTGGTACCATAAGGATTTCAAATAACCACTTTTTTGTCTGCCAAAACTAAGGGTTGCGTAAGGCCCATTCTTTCCTTCATGGACTTTTGAAGCTTGGATGAAGCTCAAATCTAGTGGTTTTTCTTTTTTTTTTTTTTTTTTTTTTTTTCGTTTTTTTTTTTGTCTACTTTGATGATCCACGTTAGTGTCATTTTTGCATGTGAATTTTTTTGTAATTTTTTTTTTGTATTTTTGTACTTTTTTTAAAATTTTATTTGATGTGTATATATGAAAGGAGCCAAACCTAATACTTACATGATGGATCATG